ACATATAGTAAATGTACATATTAAACAGGTTCAGAAGAGCACACGTCTGAACTCCAGTCACCTACCAGGATCTCGTATGCCGTCTTCTGAAAAAAAAAACAGTATAATTTTTCGGTCATTATGAGAGAATCATTCAGGCAAAGATTCAACCAAACTTCCATAATCTCAGTACCTAAAACTAAAGCAATTGAAAGATTCCCTCAGATTGAGAAACCTAACAGGAAAAACAAACTCATAATAAAGGTAGAAATACTTTGGAAGAAATAAAAGCACTTTCCTTATAAATGTGAGATAGCTTTCTTTTACCTCCTCATATTTGTAGAAGCCACAAGAACAAAGTCTCCTAAAAACAAACATTTATGCTGCTTAGGGATAATTATTCCAAATGTATTTTCAAACCTATATGCTATCAAAAGTCCATGGTAGGGGCCAGGGATTTAGCTCAGTGGTTTCGCTGCCTGCCCCGCAAGCGCAAGGACCTGAGTTCAATCCTCGGTACCACAAAAAAAAAAAAAAGTCCATGGTAGTTAATCTGAATAAAGATAAAAACAAAATAAATGCCTATGATATGACGGAAGCTTTTATTTCTCCAGATTATAAACATATAAAATATACATCTGACTATAAAATATCAATTATTAACATGCTTAAATCTTTTTAACATGCATTGTAGAATCTTTACAAAATCTGAGGTTAAAAGATTAATGTTTGGTAGATTATGTGCTTTGCATATGCAAGGCAAGGCCCTGGTTTTGATTCATGGCACTGAAAAAAAGTTTCAGGTCAAATTAAATAAAGCTTACTGACTAATGTACCTTTGTTAATTAACTAACAAACTGGGGAAAAATAAGCATTTAGCAAATACATTTAAGCTATCCTCTTACTAAAACATAACAACATTTAAGGTTGTTATGAGGATTTAATTGATTTTGTAAAGCACTTGTAATGAATAATGTATGATAAAATTACAAACAGTGTTTGCTGAATAACTATATATACTTGTGGTGTTATATGAAATCAAAAATCTTCAAACATTTTTTTAAGAAGCCACAGGTTAGGGCCGGGGATTTAGTTCAGTGGTTCCACTGCCTGCCTTGTAAGCGCAAGGACTGGAGTTCAATCCCTGGTACCAAAAAAAAAGAATCCACAGGTTAGATATTTTTTTTCTTTTCATAATTTCTGAGTAGAACCTGGCATTCTGAGAATTCAGCACAAAGTCCCTTCCTTAATGTTAAAAAGAAGAGTTCTAGGTGCAAGTGATTTAGCTCAGTGGTTCTGCTGCCTGCCACGCAAGTGCAAGGACCCGGGGTTTGATCCCCGGTACCAAAAAAAAAAAAGAAGAGTTCTATTTCTCACTTTCTGTACATTTATCAGAGTATATTTTCTAGGATTTGCTCATCAAATCTCATGCTATTATTTTAAAGACAGGAAACATGTTTTATTGCCAATTTTTTTTCTAAATCTTTAAATCGCAGGAAATCAACTACCCTCAGTTTTCTTCTATGGTTTAATATTTCATATACTTTTTTTAAAAAATAAAGCAATCTGTTATTCAAGAAAATACCTTTTTTCCTATAAAGCCACATTACTTCAAAAGCTGACCCCAAACTTACTTTACTCTCTCCTCTTACTCATATTAATCTACTCATTATCTTTTGTTATAAACTTTAAACACTTCTTCCTGTTCTATAACAAATAGATCTAACACAGAAAACTCAAATAAGGCTTACTTCTCAGACATAAATAACCCATAAAAATATGTTTACTACATAACTGAAAGCATTTCACCAAAACTCATTTTGACATTTTATTGATAAGCAACAACAATCTTCAAACTGAAGTACAGTTACAATTTTCTTTTTGGTTTCTCTTTGAAAAACCCTGATTTAAAATGAAGAAAGGAGGGCCGGGGATTTAGCTCAGTGGTTCCGCCACCTGCCCGGCAAGCGCAAGGACCCAAGTTCGCTCCCCGGTACCAAACAAAACAAAACAAAAAACAAAAAAAATTAAATGAAGAAAGGAGAGGCACCAATGTATACATAAGGTAAAAATAGTAAGGTATTACTCAAACAATGTTTTAACATATTGAAAAATGAAAGCATCAGTTTCCCCTAATACAATAGCCTGAAGGAAAAAAAAAAAGAGTATTTAAAGAGCTCATGATAAAAGGACAAAAGGTTGTTTTAAAAAAATTCTTTGTAGACTTTAAAGCAGTGAGAAATAGGTAGGGGTAATGCTCCTGTATGAGACTGATTAGGGTGTCAACATCATGAAAAGAAGTTTTCTGCCACTCTAGATTTAGTTAAGGATAGTCTAGAACTCTTTCATAACAGATTGTGCTAACCTAAAAGGACATTTGCAAAATATTTTATTCTCACATAAAAAGAATGTATTATAATGTATATGTAATACACACATACATATTTGTTTTTATCTAAAGCAATTAACAGCCAAAAAATTTTTTAGAAATATGGTGACTGAAATGCCACCAATACCATATTCCAATCTTCTCTGCTGTTTGAGAATTAAAGGTAGAGATGTTAGATTGTACAATCCAACCTAATTTGTAAGAGAAAGGCACATAAAATCTTTCCTAGAATTATTTATTTTCTGCTATCAGATAGGAAAAAAATGCAGGAACCTGTGTTATGGTTAGATTGAGAATGTCCCCTCAAAGCTTCATGGGGGTGAAGCTTTTGGAAGGTGACTGGACTACGGGGTGCTACAGCTGACTTGCTATTAGGAGGTGGGTCTCTAGGGGTGTGACCTGGAAAGGCCTATCTCCCTCCTCCCCAGTTCCTTCTTTCTCTTCTTCCTGGCTGCTTAGATATGAGTGGCTTTCCTCTACCTAGCTCTTCTACCATGCTATATCTGTGTCTGAGCCTGCCAAGCATGGACTGAAACTTCTGAAACTGCAAACCAAAATAAATCTCTCCTGTATTTGTGATTGTCTGTCAGGTATTGTCTCAGAGATGAAAAAAAGTGACTAAGACAACCTGACAACACACTGTGCTACTGAATTGTAATGAAGTAGATACCCCTGTAGTTGTGGCATGCACCTAAGATCCCATAGGATTCCCATCCACAGGATTCCTCAAGGGTAGCAAATCTGACATCTAACAAAATCAATTAGTTACCCAATGGCCCAGCAAGGTTAGTTTCAAGATTCTATCTATAAGACGTATTTCTGTAAATATGAAACATAAAAGGTTGTTTCCTGTGGCCTAATTTGTAATTAGAAACAACATAAATGTACTGTGGTACAGCCCACATGATGAAGTACAACTGCCCTACAACTGAGTCATATAAACTTAAATACTGTGTTTCCCCGAAAATATGACCTAATCAGAAAATAAGCTCTGGCATGACTTTACAGAATGTTCGTAATATAAGTCCTGCCCCAGAATAAGCCCCAGCTAGAATATCAGCCAGATGAACATATTTCGTGTCTGTTGCAACACACAATGGACATACTGAATTATAAAATAATAATATATAATTAAATATAAATAATGACACTGATACTTAAAATGTAAATAATATAAATTATGATTATTTGGAAACACCAGAGTGGATGTCTTTAGACAAGCGGTAAACACCTGTGTAAAATGACTTATTTGCCTAATGCCCAACTGGAGTACAGACACAACACATGAATATGCACACTTGATATAATGGATATGGCTGTGTCTAATATGAATCTTTATAACTCAATATGTCATGTGTTGCAATGAATGTACTTAATGGAGTCATGTGAAATAAACATTTTCTGAGTTTTGATGCTGGCAATTTTTTGCCGCTTTTGTGTGGACCATCAATCTTAGCTGTCATCATTTTTTTTTTTAGTTGTCATCATTTTTATTGCCATTCATGTCTCATAAGTGTTCAATTAACATTTAATTTAATGAAAACTTTGTCAAGCCTACCTTGTAAGAGGTCATGACTTGGGTGAAGAATTCATGGAATAAAATCATTGAGAGTTGTGCTGCCAATGTACTGTAAGCAGGCTACATGAACAAGAAGTGCTCGTTTCAGCCCGCTCTATTGCTGGGCATGAGAGATTGGGGCCAATGGTTCTATAGAAAATTGGGAGTTCTAAGAAATTCAGGCCAGAATTAGGGATTTGGAGAGTTATGACAACGTTATAGAAGATGACATGACTGTATTTGAATAAATGTATTTTTGCACTGTTGTACATGAAAAATAAGACATCCCTTGAGAATAAGTCCTATTTTGTCTTTTAGAGCAAAAATTAATATAAGACCCAGTCCTATTTTGGGGGAAAAACAGTATTTTCAGAATTAACAGTACAGAATAGTAAACATATAGTACTATGTATCATGTTCATTTATGTAGTACATATATATCATGTTCATTTTGAACATGATACTGTTATATTTTTAGTGGGAAAAATATCTAAGAAAAAAATCTACAAAGAAATTTTAAACTTCATTAAGTTAAAATACTAAGAGGGCCGGGGATTTAGCTCAGTGATTCCGCCGCCTGCCTTGCAAGTGGAAGGACTGGAGTTCGATCCCCGGTACCAAAAACCCCCCCAAAAAACCAAAAAAAACTAAGAATTCACCTAGAATACTAATAATTATAATTGAAATGTTTGATGTTTATGTAGGATAAAATCAAATAAGAAGCTGCATTAATGTTATTAGGAACCAAAGTGGTTTCGTTAGCTTGGATTTTGGTAGTA